GCTGAGATAAGAGAATACAAGTGTGTAAGCTTATACACTTTTAAAACTCAGCATTTCCTACTTTTCACTAGTGAGAGCAGTAGAAAGTGTGCTCTTCATTTCTCAGTAAAATACAAGGTCATCTGACTTGTTGTGGTGATTACTTGATTAGATGTCACAGTCCCAAGAAAATAGTAGTAAAGGCAACTTTTGTTCAAAGAGATTCATCCAACATTTCCCAAAAGGTAGAATAGATAAGTCTGTCCTCATTGTATTTACAGCTTCCATATAACTTTTCTAGGATTTCCACTCTTGCATACTGCAGATAAACTCATTTTTCAGTTCTAGGTAATACAGCCTAAAACTCCAAACTCAAGAGGAAATTTAGGAATAGAGAGAAACTGATGGTTTTGCCTTGCCTTGCAGAATTTAAGGAGCCCCCGACATGCATACGCACACACAAACACACACAACTTTATCATTTCCCCTCCATGTTCTAAGCCAGTATCCATCCTGGGGATTTCTTATAAATACCAGGGTGTTTAAGAGGGAAGGAGAAGAAGGTGTGGGAGGGGAATAAAAAGGGGTAAAAGACTCAAAGTTATACCAGCTCCCTGGTGGAGCCTTCCAGATGTTATGATGACTTGACCTCAGAGGCCTGTGAAATTCCACTGGATTTACCCTAAAAGAGTAGGGAAATCCTAAAAGTGGCATTCCCAAACATAGACTACCCTCGTGTAACCAAACCAAAATCATAAAACATCAAGCCATAAATTTTTATGAGAAAAATTTTGAGAGCTTTTCTAATTTCAAGAGCATCGAATACAACTCCCTTTCTAGCTCAGATTTTATGTTATAGTAAGAGAGTGTTTTCCTATCATCATTCAATTATTATCATATGATCTTGGGGCAAGCCACCTTCACCCTCTCCTAAACATGTGTTATCAGCTCTAAATTTAGGTTCTAATTATTCCTACTTTGTTCCTCATCAAGAAATGAACTGATTTTTGCAAAAGTCTTGTAAACTGTAAAACATATAAACATTTGGAATTTTTTCTGTCTATTTTAGAAAGGAATAATCTGATAGAGCAAAAGGAAGCCAATATCATTTAGAAGACTGTTTGTTTCTAGTGCAGGGGTAACGAGATTATAGATTACAGATTAAAATGGCAGTAAGACTGGAGAGCTAGGATTTGTTTTTTAATTGAGGAAAGTGTTTATGATTGGGTGGGTGGATAGAGAAAATAAAGGAGAAAAAGCGAGAGATGATTCCATCGGTAGCAGAAACAGAACTGCTAAGATGGTATCTAGTATGGAAATAACAGGGAGAGAAGTAAGACGTTCTCTTCTGGATTTGATGAAATTAAAAGAGATAGCAAGATACTTAAACTAAGAAAATAGTGTCAGCCATCTGGCAACTAGGAAGAATACATAGGACAGACGCCAACCAGGATGGCAGAGGGGAAAGCCCCAAATGCCGGGTCCTCGTGTCATCATGTCACTGCATAGCCAACTAGGGGACTAACTAACCTTGTTTTACCATGTGTTTTGTTACTTACAGACCAAACCGAGATAACAGTGAAGTTAAACAAAACATAAAATAATCTTGGTAAGATAACTAAAATTATTGTAGGAATTCTGAGTCAGTTTACAAACCTGTTTTTGAAAAGGACTATGTCTTTTAACATCGTAATAGCTTTTTTTTTTTACTTCAAATCTCATCCCTTTCGAGACCCAAGAAAGGTAAATTAAGAGTAACAGAAGCAGTGGAAAAACATAGGATAATAAATTCACTTGTAACTTAAAGATTATAGATGTGTTTTTAAGTGGCAATGTAAGACTTTCACGTATAAAGAGCATTGCTTAGTTCTAAAAGCATTTATTTTGCCTTTAAATAAGACATTATGCTAAATCATGAGCTATTGCAGTTTTAGATATGAGTTGTTAGAAAAGATATTCCATTTTTATGAGCACAATTCACTCATAAAGTTCTATATGAAATCTAAATATATGAGGATAGATTAAGCCATAATCATCTATATTAATGATCTCACGTCTCAGCTCCTCTGTTTGAAAGGAAACCTCTACAAGTGTTAGCGCAACTTGTGTGCCCAAGGCACAGTGAGACCAAACAAACCAAAACGTCGGAGTTTGGAGCCACGCAAGGAGACGGGTGGCTCATGCCCTACGAAGCCCTGAGCTCCCCGAAGGGTTTCAGCAAAGCACTTTTAAAAGCCAGGTTGGGGCAGGGGCGGGTGTCGAAGCGTATGTGACCAGCTGGTGCACAGTTCTCTGATTGGCTGACGGTGAGGTAACAGGGTGGTGTCATAGGGGTTCACATGTTCTGTCCTTAGCCTCCAGGAGGCCTGGGGCTCTGTGCTCAAGTTCATCAAGTAGTTAATGTCTTCCATTTGGTGGAGGCGGGGAGAGGGAGGTGGGTCACATCTGTAAAACAACTCAGGAAATGTGCATCAAATACTGCTACCTAGGTACCGCAGAGAGGAGCTAAAGCAGAGGATGCGGGAGAAGGCCTGTCCTGGGAAGGCCCCATAGGGTCCTGCTTGGTTACAAAGGGACAATTATTCCAAGACTCTTAAGTGTTCATTGATAAAAATTTGATTTACAATCCTCCCTAAGATATCTCTAATACATTAAACAAGTTATATTTCAACTATGATTTCTGAGTGAACAACACTGTTCTTTCCTGAAAGACGTGTTTATATATGAAGCACAGTTTTTTTAAAGATAACTGCTAAGTTATTGATCGTAATAACAGGAAACATTATCCTCATGCTTGCTATGTGCCAGATATTCCTAATCCTCAAGACAACAACTATTATTGTTACCACTTTCCAGATGAGAAACCTCAGAGTGGTGAGGTAACTTGTCCAAGAATGAAGAGTTGGAATGAGAATATATACATAGACAATCTGACTCCAGACCCTACACACACTTCACTGTACCTTACAATACCCAGATGAAAGTAAAGCCGGTATAGGTAGTGAAAAGTGCCAGAAAAGAAGCGTTTGATTGCCAAGGCATCCATTTCAAAGACATCCATCTCGAATAAATGTATTGCCAGCTGTACGGCACATACACTAGCTAAAAAACCCAGATCAGGAGCCAGGCCACCTCACCCATGGACTTCCTCTTTCAGAAAGCCCTGGGTGACCTAGAGAACGAAACACCTGAGTGACCCCGATTCTTCCCTTCCCGTGTCCTAATTCCCACCCTTATGTTTTAAATTCACCGATGAAGTGTGAACCCGTGAACCCCCATGCTTCCCTCCCTCCACCTGACCTCCTGTGTGGCCCTTGGGTGTGACTTGTACCCTACAGGACTTGTGTGTAATAAACCTTGTTTTTTTTTCAAAGTTCCCTAATTATTGTTGCTGAGGTGCTCTTGCAATCATGTTACCAAGTGCAAGCTCGTTCAACAGGCCAGTAAATCGGGGGAGGAGGTGCTGGGGCAAGGAGCAATGGCTTAATTCAGAAAGCTGGAATCCAAGAAGATGGCTGCAGGAAAGAAAAAATTAACATATCACCTCCCCCAGTCTGGCAAAACCAGGAGATATTTGCAAAACTTATGGCCCTTTTTACTTTACCTCCTCACCTCCCCCTCTCCCTGTTCTGTAAAAGAAACTAGCATCCAGACCCTGGGATGATGCTTCTCTAGGACCCTAGTCTGCCACACACAAAATGGAATACTACTCAGCCATAAAAAAGAAAAAAAATCTTGTCATTTGCCACCACATGGATGAGGCTTGAGGGCATTAGACTAAAATTAAATGTCAGACAGAGGAAGATAAGTGCCATGTGATCTCACTTATATATGGGATCTAAAACAAACTAACAAACGAAAAACACTGAACTCATATGGAGAACAGAGGCACAATGGGTGAAGGGGGTCAAAAGGTATAAAATTCCAGTTATAAAATAATTAAGTTGTTGGTATGTAATGCACAGCATGGTGACTATAGTTAATAAAACTGTACTGCATATTTGAAAGCCACTGAAAGAGCAGATGTTAAAAGTTCTCGTCACAAGGAAGAAAACATACATTGTAAACATAGATATGCACAAAAAATTTTTCACAAAAATTCACAAAACATTTTCTCCAAAAACTTTATTCAACAGAAATTATAATAATAGGCTTCAAAGTAGAATCTAGGAGACACGTTGTTACATTACTCGTTTTATTTATCAGTATTGTGATGCTATCCAGAAAGAAAACTGAAATAACCAGTGACATTTGCCACACAGTATGCTTGTTCCTGTCATCTCTACCAAATAATATCAAGGAACGATATAAGTCCATCAGCTTTAATGGTCTTATCTGTGAAGCTAACGACAGTGTATGAAACGTTGACTTGTGGACAAAGAGAAAACATGAACTATCACGATAGCTTGCTGTCTGGCTGCGATGCCAAGCGGCAAGTTTCCTCATGGACTGGCTTTCTTCAATCAGCGCCATATCCTACAGGTATTATCCTTGCTACCTAATAAAGCAAATTTCACAAAGTTAGTTTTCTTTATTTTACTCACTTAACTCTCTCTGTTTTTACAGGTTGACATTTTCTGGGTCATTGTCGATGATCAGTATGTTTCATGTGCTAGAGCCTCAGTGCCCAGCTGCAGAGCCCCTCAGCAGCTCAGGCGTTTGGGGGGGGTGGGAATCTTTTTTTTTTTGCATTTTTCCATGTCAGTCATAAATTGGGCAAGTTCACATTCTACTTACACACCCCCGCGAGATTCATGGCATCTCCCCACCCCACCTTCACACATGGCCACCAGGTGGAAATATGGTGACTTTGAACATCTCCAGGTTTGAGTGACTAGCTTATGAGGGGGCAGCCCATCCCACTTTGGAACGTCTCAAAACGTCAACAGATTTTTCTCATCGTAGGTCAGAATGTGAAATTTGCATCCTCCTGCCCGCCCCACGACTATGATCGACACTCTTCCAAAGCAGCCTTGATACAACTCCTCCCCCAGGGACGCCATTCACATTCTGTCTGTGGGAATGACGGCCCTGGGCCCTGGTACGGAGCAGTGCTGGGCGCTGCTGCTTCTCTCAACCTCAGGGGCCAGGCAGGTACCATCGACAGAGGAAGTGTGAGGGCTGCACGGATCGGGAAAGCCTGTGAAAACCGCACATTCCCCGCAAAGGCACCTCGTATTTTTAAAAGTGTCATGATCACACCGGACAGTTTCTTTCCATTTAGTGACTCTAAACCCTCAGGCAGTCCACTAATAAATGCATGCAGTTAATCACACTGGGGTCTGACAAGAAATAGGGCAGATCAGTTCAAACCCAGTGCTCTGCTGAAGGCCAGGCAGACGTGTCACCCCCATTCTCATAAGCGCTGGCATCTAGTGGGTCAGTATTTAGCATGTTGGTGCTTTGGGAAATACTAAATAAATCGATAATATCTTAAAGGAGCTCAGGCATTTGAAGGCCACCACTAAAACAAGGCACAATCAACACATATTCCTTCCCTAACTCTTAGGGTCTTCTGTGGTTGAGGGGAAGAGGTACTGCATAGCTGACCCGGCTTAACATGAACGGTGTAGACTAGGAAAGCCTGGCCCTCAGCTCCTGTGCTTCCTGTCACAATCTCCCACCTCCTTCCTCATTGTGAGAAAGGATCCAACATTCTTTATTATGGCGTCGTCTTAGGAGTACCTATGTTTTAGTAACACTCGCTAACCGTAAGCCCAAAGGAAGTAATCTGCAATTTTAGAAATTATCCATAGTCAGGTGGAAAGGGGTGGTATTTCAGGGCAAAGGGGAGATTATTCTCAGCACCTCTGAAGTTATATGATTAGGAAGCTACCAAATCAGCCAATATATAAAGCCAACTTCGTATATGCGACATTTCACTTACTAGACGAGTTAAGCAATGTGAAAATCTTCTGGACACGATGAGAATCACTGAGAGTTAGGCAGATTCGCTCCTCTGTGCCCTCTGAGGGCATCCCTACCCAACACCACTGTAGCATCCCGCTCCCTGCCAAGGTTTCCTCCAGAGGCAGTGCACTAACGTAGTGCCATATTCTTGTCATTTTTTTTCCCCTTTCCACAATCTAAATTAACCTGATCTCAATCCACTTCTTATAAAATATCGCTAATATTAAGTTATTCACAATAAATCGTTAATCACTGAAAAATTGCTCAATATGTGTTCTTTTCCCCCAATATTAATGTGTCACGAGGGGACATCCAAGGAGAAAACAATTTCACTCAAAGAACAAATCTCTAATGGGCTATAAATTCCACTGTGAAGAACTCAGGTCCTGACTTGTTTTAGTTACTAACATTTACTGCCGTCAACTGAGTATTGACCATCTGATGGACTGTACCTGGGGAAATGTAGGAAACAGGAAGAAGGCAGGCTACTGAATTCTTACTTCGCCTGGAGCAACTGAAACTGAGAATTCATAAAGCCTTACAGTCAGTGGCAGAGCTCACTCCTGTGGTTCTGCAATGCAGCTAAAATGAAATAAAGGACATAAAAGGCACCAAGATGAGCTAGGGACCCTGGTGGGGATGGGGGTGTCTCCTTTTGGTATCCAGCTTCGTAACTCTAACAGCCAATTTGAAAGGAAAACTAAGTCGATGGTGTTTATTTCCCCCCTACCTGTAATGATTATGTCACCTTTATAGTTGAAAGCACATGAAAAGATTTCATCTGTGTGTCCCTCAAGAACCTGGAAGCACTGACCCGTCTGAGCATCCCAGATTCTAGCTGTTTTGTCAGAGCTGCCAGTGAGAAGACGGTTCCCTTGGGGGTTGAAAGAAATCTATAAGCAAGAAAGAAGAAAAGTGACCACAGGTTTGTGTAATTTGATTCCCACTATATTTTTAATCAGCAGAAAGGGGACATTACTAAGTACCTGTCACCTTCTCAGCCTGGTATTTATTCTTACATAGAACAGTTCCTTCAGGATGGGAAAAATATTGCAGGGACTAATACATGAAAATTAAAATCTAGACAGTAAAGTTTGATTGCCCAACCGTCACACACGGTTCTAAGGATAAAAACCAAAGCTCCGTCATACTTTGAGTGTTCCCCACCCAGCTTCTTTCCAAAGGCTCCTGATGCCAATCTCCCCACGCAAACCAAGAGGCAGAGCCCTGGTGCGGATGAGAACCCAAGCCAGGCATCTTCATACCCAAACCTCGATGTCACCGCTGCAAACCAACTTTCTGTCATCACAAGCATAGGGATCGTCCTTCAATCTGTGGCACAGAATGTCAGGGCCACTAAGGGAGGACTTTCTGTCTGCTGCTACTTAAAGCACAGAACTTTCCATCAATGTGTCCTGAGAGCCCCTACATGCCAGGTATCGTCACATGGTATCTGAGCAGCAGAGAAAAGTGTTAGTCCTCGGTTCCTCTGGACATCACGCTTACAACCTTTTCTAAAGCATCAGAAGATGACCATTTGGGCCACTTCCTCTGTAACTGAAGGTTTGATGAGGGCAAGTCCCAAGGCCATGGCTTTTTTCATCACAGTGTCACTAGGGCCTAGCATAATGCCTAGCACAGTGGGAGCTTTCAAAAAGTATTTGCTGGGCTTCCCTGGTGGCACAGTGGTTGAGAGTCCGCCTGCCGATGCAGGGGACACGGGTTCGTGCCCCGGTCCGGGAAGATCCCATGTGCCGCGGAGCAGCTGGGCCCGTGAGCCATGGCCGCTGAGCCTGCGCGTCCGGAGCCTGTGCTCCGCAACGGGAGAGGCCACAACAGTGAGAGGCCCGCATACCGCAAAAAAAAAAAGTATTTGCTAAGTGAATGAACGAATGAATGAATGAATACCTTAGCTTGGCACCCCATAGAAATGCCATTACTGGATGGCAATTCAATAGGTAATATATACTTAACAAGCATAAAATGCAGTAATATAGTTTGAGAACTCTTTCTATTCACACACACACACACGCGCTTATTGAGTGTGACACACCAGACTCTCAGCAACATGGCCTGGGCTCCCTCTGTGGCCTGTCTCCCCCGGTCACACATCCCATCCCTCTTCCTGCCAGTCCCCAAGGCCTCCCAGCCTGTGAAGAGGATGTGTCCTGCACAGTCTCAGAGACCAACCCTGATGGGCAAGGGGGCAGTGGCCACCAGCAGCAGGTGCAAAGGCAGGAGATGGGGAGAGAGCACAGCAGCGGGCGGCCCCGGGCTCCAGCAGGAGCCTGCAGAGACCTGAAACCATCAAGCTGACAGTTTACAAGGAACGAGAAATCTATCTCAGGTATGAGACCAAAGAATTGGGCCAAACTAGGGGCTGAGAGTCACCAGTCCCAGCCTTCAATACAATATTCTGAGGACACATCTAAACCTCAGACCCCTGATTGGATGGCCCTGCTCTGTGCATAAGCTTTTGGGAGGAGTTCATATAAAATCCTAAACTACAGCTTTCAAGTTTCAAAATAGGTCATTTTTAACTTCGTTAAGTGTTAAATATTTCCAGGAAATACTTCCTCAATTGCATCTAATCTACAGGACACTTGATATTTGCTGTGCAGCGTGTCTTTTGCGTAATATAAACTTGTGTGTTTACTAGAACCAGGAAAAATACTTTATTAGCTTCTTAATAGCTTTAATAAGTACTTTTAGCTAACAGAATCTTTTGCTCATGGCTGAGGAGAATGCTGTTTTATACTTTGTAAAAGGTTTTAGAAATCATTTATTATGCTGAGTTTCAGGACACTTGTAAAAATAAAGTCTTTAGGTAACTGATTTCCAGAAAATGTGAGATAACTGGCCAAACCTTGGTACCATCAGTGCCAATAGACCTATTTATACTAAGCCAGCTGCCTATTTTTTTGAAAATAAATAAACTGCTCCAAATGAGAAAGCAACTCACCTTTGAAATTTCACCTTCATGGCCTTCCAATTTGGTAATGCATTTTCTCGTGGCTGCACTGAAAACTCTTGCTGTTCCTTTTTGAGAGGAGTTGAGATATATATAAATTCATCTGAAACACAGAACTTTGACCACATGCCTTGAATTATCTAAATATCTATCCCTCTGACACACACACTCTGTGCTAAGTTTGTCTTCTTGCCTGCGGTGAGAACCAGCCACTTAAAACTTAAAATGCAAGCTGGTTCCACTGCAGGAGAAGAGTGAAAAGGAGAGTCTCTCTAGCCCCAAGCTTATTAGAAGAGATACTGGGTTCCAAGGTAGATGGGAGTGGGGAGACAGGAATCCAAAAAGAATAAAGTTTTTAAGAGAAAAAAAGGGGAATTAAAACAAGTTCTGAGAGGCTGAGGATGAAATAAACAGCAAGACTAACATCATACACCAAATATGAGTCTAGGGTTACAGAAGATCGAGAGGCCTTCCTGAGAAGGAACAGCGTTCACTACTCAATGAATGAAGAACAGGCACTAAGAAACCCCTTTCAACAGAAAAGGCTAAGAGAATGGTTTGTTCCCTATCGGGTCCCCAGTGCCCGGAAGTGCCAAACTCATAGTAAACACAATAAATAGATATAGGATGGATGGATGGATGGAGCGTAGACGGATGGATGGATGTACAGATGAAGTACAATAGTAGATACATTTCCTTAGAATTAAGGAAGAGAGGAGTTGGGGCTTTGCCCTGATGGCACAGTGGTTGAGAATCTGCCTGCCAATGCAGGGGACACAGGTTCAATCCCTGGTCCGGGAAGATCCCACATGCTGCAGAGCAACTAAGCCCATGAGCACAACTACTGAGCCTGCGCTCTACAGCCTGTGAGCCACAGCTACTGAGCCCGCGTGCCACAACTACTAAAGCCTGTGCGCCTAGAGCCCGTGCTCCACAATAAGAGAAGCCACCACAATGAGAAGCCTGTGCACTGCAACGAAGAGTAGCCCCTGCTCGCCGCAACTAGAGAAAGCCCGTGCAGCAACGAAGACCCAACACAGCCAAAAATAAATAAATAAATAAAATTTTTTAAAAACAAAAAAAAAAGGAATAGAGGAGTTAAATAAGCATAGAAGGAGAAAAACAGAAGTAGTAAAATTGTTGTCAGAAAAAAAATTGAAATTTATCTGCCCAGGTGAAGGATGCTGTCTCACCACAAATTATAGATTACATCAAGGTAAAATTAGCAAGGATAGGGAATTTTGGTTACTTAACTTTAATATGGAGAAAAGCAAAATATCTTAATAAATTTTCTTTTTACTTATCTTTCTGACAATATCAACTTCAGGAAGAAGTAGACAAAAACTGCTATGTTAGAAATTAATATGATTAAAATATAAAACTTGCAACTTGGTTGGACATTTCAAAAGCCTTAAAGAAAAGTGATCCAACTGTTTTAAGAATTTGTTAATAAGAGAGATTGGTTCAAGATAGCGGAGTAGAAGGACGTGTGCTCACTTCCTCTTGCAAGGGCACCGGAATCACAACTAACTGCTGAACTATCATCAAGAGGAAGACACTAGAACTCACCAAAAAAGATACCCCACATCCAAAGACAAAGGAGAAGCTGCAATGAGATGGTAGGAGGGGCACAATCACAATAAAATCAAATCCCATAACTGCTGGGTGGGTGACTCACAAACTGGACAACACTTATACCACAGAAGTCCACCCACTGGAGTGATGATTCTGAGCCCCACATCAGGCTTCCCAAGCTGAGGGTCTGACAACAGGAGGAGGAATTCCCAGAGAATCAGACTTTGAAGGTTAGCGGGATTTGATTACAGAACTTCGACAGGACTGGGGGAAACAGAGACTCCACTCTTGGAGGGCACACACAAAGTAGTGTGTGCATGAGGACCTGGGAGAAGGAGCAGTGACCCCAGAGGAGACTGAACCAGACCTACCTGCTAGTGTTGGAGGGTCTCCTGCAGAAGCGGGGGGTGGCTGTGGCTCACTGCAGGGACAAGGACACTGGCAGAAGAAGTTCTGGGAAGTACTCCTTGAGGTGAGCTCTCCCAGAGTCCGCCATTAGCCCCAACCAAGAGCCTGGTAGTCTCCAGCACCAGGTCGCCTCATGCCGAACAACCAAGAGGGAGGGAACCCAGCCCCACCCACCAGCAGACAAGTGGATTAAAGTTTTACTGAGCTCTGCCCATTAGAGCAACACCCAGCTCTACCCACCACCAGTCCCTCCCATCAGGAAGCTTGCACAAGCCTCTTAGATAGCCTCATCCGCCAGAAGGCAGACAGCAGAAGGAAGAAGAACTACAATCCGGCAGCCTGTGGAACAAAAACCACATTCACAGAAAGATAGACAAGATGAAAAGGCAGAGGGCTATATACCAGGTGAAGGAACAAGATAAAACCCCAGAAAAACAACTAAATGAAGTGGAGATAGGCAACCTTCTGAAAAAGAATTGAGAAGAATGACAGTGAAGATGATCCAAGACCTCAGAAAAAGAAAGGAGGCAAAGATTGAGAAGATGCAAGAAATGTTTAACAAAGACCTAGAAGAATTAAAGAACAAACAAGCAAAGATGAACAATACAATAACTGAAATGAAAAATATACTAGAAGGAATATATAACAGAATAACGGAGGCAGAAGAACAGATAAGTGACCTGGAAGACAGAATGCAGGAATTCATAGCCACGGAACAGAATAATAAAGAAAAAAGAATGAAAAGAAATGAAGACAGCCTAAATGACCTCTGGGACAACATTAAATGCAACAACATTCACATTACAGGGGTCCCAGAAGGAGAAGAGAGAGAGAAAGGACCCAAGAAAATATCTGAAGAGATTATAATTGAAAACTTCCCTAACATGGGAAAGGAAAGAGCCACCCAAGCCCAAGAAGCACAGAGAGTCCCAGGCAGGATAAACCCAAGGAGAAACATGCCGAGACACAGTAATCAAACTGACAAAAATTAAAGGCAAAGAAAAATTATTAAAAGCAACAAGGGAAAAATGACAAATAACATACATAGGAAAACATAGGAAGAACCCTCTTTGACAGAAATCACAGCAAGATTTTTGGCCCGCCTTCTAGAGTAATGGAAATAAAAACAAAAATAAACAAATGGGACCTAATGAAACTTCAAAGCTTTTGCACAGCAAAGGAAACTATAAACAAGATGAAAAGAAAACCCTCAGAATGCGAGAAAATATTTGCAAATGAATCAAGGGACAAAGGATTAATCTCCAAAACATATAAACAGCACATACAGCTCAATATTACAAAAAAACAAACAATCCAATCAAAACATGGGCAGAAGACCTAAATAGACATTTCTCCAAAGAAGATATACAGATTGCCAACAAACACATGAAAGGATGCTCAACATCAGTAATTATTAGAGAAATGCAAATCAAAACTACAATGAGGCATCACCTCACACCATTTAAAATGGGCATCATCCGAAATCTACAAACAACAAATGCTGGAGAGGGTGTGGAGAAAAAGGAACCCTCTTGCACTGTTGGTGGGAATGTAAATTGATACAGCCACTATGGAGGACAGTATGGAGGTTCCTTAAAAAACTAAAAATAGGACTACCATATGACCCAGCAATCCCACTACTGGGCATATACCCTGAGAAAACCATAATTCAAAGAGAGTCATGTACCCCAATGTTCATTGCAGCACTATTTACAATAGCCAGGACATGGAAACAACCTAAATATCCAACAATAGATGAATGGATAAAGAAGATGTGGCACATATATACAATGGAATATTACTCGGCCGTAAAAAGGAACGAAATTGGGTCATTTGTAGAGACATGGATGGACCTAGAGACTGTCATACAGAGTGAAGTAAGTCAGAAAAAGAAAAACAAACACCGTATGCTAACACATATATATGGAATCTAAAAAAAAGAAAGAAAAGGTTCTGAAGAGCCTAGGGGCAGGACAGGAATAAAGACACAGATGCAGAGAATGGACTTGAGGAAACGGGGAGGGGGAAGGGTAAGCTGGGACAAAGTGACAGAGTGGCATGGATATATATACACTATCAAACGTAAAATAGATAGCTAGTGGGAAGCAGCTGCATAGCACAGGGAGATCAGCTCGGTGCTTTGTGACCTCCTAGAGGGATGGGATAGGGAGGGTGGGAGGGAGATGCAAGAGGGAAGAGATTTGGGGATATATGTATATGTATAGCTGATTCACTTTGTTATAAAGCAGAAACTAACACACCATTGTAAAGAAATTATACTCCAATAAAGATGTTAAAAAAAAAAGAGATAATGCAGTCATAATATAGCATCACATGTGCCTGCCAAACAGACTTTGCAGATATAGCACTGCATCATATGTGGGTGTAAAGGTGACAACACAGGCATACTATGGCATCATATAGTGTCGTCAGTGCGATAAACAATAGCATAACAACATACATATTTACTTTAAAGGGATGTAGATATAGCATAACTTCATTTGTTATTGTCAAGAAAATGATGCAAAGTATACAACTATACAGTGCTGTCAAGTAGATGATTAGACACAGTGTAGCATCAGACCGTGGTTACCAATAAGATCAGACAGACATGGTGTAGAATCATAAGTGACATTCAAGAAAGTGATGTATAGCTCATTATACACGTTCATCACGATGATTCACTAGACATGTTAGAGCAGCGCATGTTATAAAGGAGACAATGCAGGTTTATGATAGAACCATCAGTGGCCGTCAAGCTGACGAGAACAACATAGTGTAGCATAATGCGTGATCATTAGGGGGAGATGACCCAAGGTACACCAATATATATAGTTATCAAGGAGATGAAGATCTAGTTTAACATCATATGTGGCTGTCAAGGAGGTGATGCAGACATTCTATAGCATCACATGTGATTATCAAGAATATGATAGAGACACAGTGTACTGACGTACATGGACATCATAGAGATGAGGCACATGTAGTTTCTATCACAGCTGGTCACCAGGGAGATGACCTATAGTGTAGAATCACACGTGTTTATCGAACAAAACATAAATCTCTCCATAAATTAAATGTACCAACAGATTACCTACCATCAGCCGAAGCAGTTGCAATAAGCTTTCCAGTGTAATCAAAACAGCTGTCTAGTATTTCATCATCATGGCCTGTTAATGTTGCCACACATTTTCCATTTGTAGCATCCCACAGCTGAAATTTTTTTTAAAAAGAAGAAGATGACAAAGACTATGACTTCCTATCTAAAGTGCAAAGGTGGCCAGAAGTGGTCTTTACGACATGTTTATGGCTGGCTAAATTAACTGTGCCAAAATCATGTGTATAATTTTCACATGTTTGTTCATTTTACCTTGATTCATGACCGGAGACCACAGCCAACCATCTAACAAGGCACACTTTGGACACAGAGAAGACCAAGGACAGACATTTAGAATGGGTAGACAAATCTGCCACTACATTAGGAAAAAAATCTCAAAGTGCATGCTTCTCTGATTGGAATGGAAGCATCCTCTTTTCATGCAAAGGGCATCAAACGGTAAAGAGCTTGATCTAAAACTACAATGCTAGAAAATGAAAAGCACATTAAGATTATAATACATTTGGTATATAACCTATATATCTAATAATAATTCTAGAACATAAGCTCTTAGCAACAGAAACGTAAAGGCAGGGAGGCATTGTGTTGAGACTTCGTGAAGTTCACTCTAATTGAAGTTTAATAAAGGAATAGAGGGGCATTAAACAAAAATAACGTGCCTTTTAAAATAATAAGACCTTTCAACACATTTAAATCAACTAAAACTATTTTACATCATAATTTCTTCAAACTTGGAGGATCAGAAACTTGAAATTTAAAAATTACCAATTGTTGATAATATCTTAATTTTATAGCACCTTTAAAATTTGTTAATGTTGCAATGAATACCTGACACAGTATAAAGTACAGCCATAAGAATTATGAAGCAAAGATATTTCTTGAGCTCACCATGCAGGTTTTGTCCATAGAGCCAGTTAATATCAGAGAGCAATCCCAGTTGAATAAGGCACTGCTGATCTCAGCACAATGCCCAATTAAGGTATACACCTTCCTACAAAATGGAAATGGTTCAGACTGGTGAAAGATTCCTTAGTCAAGAATGCGTACAAAGAATGATCTCAAGCCATTGGTGTAAGAGTCTGAATTTTACTTTTCACAAAATAATATCTATGATGACCAATCAAAGATGGCTTAACTGTAGCTCCAAAAAGAGTCAACTAGGCTACTAATTTCATTTCAGCAAAAACTATGCTTAAACTTTTAACAACCCAAGATAACAACATTACCTAAGACAACACTTCAGAGAGGCGTGGATAAAAAATAATAAAGGTAATCTGAAGTTCTAGAACTACTTTTACCCCAGATAGGTGGACCCCTTGGTTGTTCAGAAACTACCCATCAGTCGTCTGAGAACCCTTCCTCCCCTCTCATTTCTTGTTGCAACCATGTTGATCGGTACCCCTGATAATTGGTCCCTCTATCAAAACGCAGACAAGTCCAAGAGTGGCGTTTTCCAACAAAAGTAGGCTAATTTAGTTAACTTCTTAGCAACTAGAACCAAAAATAATTAGGAAGGAAGTTGAAGTTCTTGGACAAAATTAAATTTGGGTCATTAGCCATGATTTTATTTATTCATGATACCCGTGCCTACCATAATGACAAGCCATTGAAATTTGATTACATAGTACCTGGAATAAATAATAGCTGTGTAACCAGGCTATTGTTAACATTCTCCTTTTATGTTACTGTTTGGCATTATTTCCTCAGAATTCCAAGGAAGCGTGTATTTTTGGTGGATCAGAAAAATCATTAAAGAATGAATTAATTTGCTTTCAATGTGTCCCTATTCCTATGGAATCCAAGGTAAAGAATAGATTTGACATTAAGCTGATAAATAACAAAGACTATCTTCTTAATCTTCTGATGCAGGTTAGAAAAAAATTCTTAAAAATCAAGAATACCTTCCAGTATCAGTATCCCACACTGTAACTGTATGATCGAAAGACCCCGTGATGATTCTGTTCCCTGAGGTGTTAAAGGACAAAGAGATGATTTCAGCTGAGTGTCCCTAGAAAAAGACCAGATATCATCATGCAGACCTGTAGATGAAACGATTTCTACAAATGTATAACGTAATAGTCTAAAAGAAAATGCTAAAAAAGGCAAAGCTCTATAGGGAGAAGAGAGATCAGTGGCTGGCTGGATAGGGAGAGACTGCAAGCAAGCTGAAATACATTTATGTGCTCAGAATTTTAATGTTCGGCTCCATTTAATTTTAATAAAGGACACGTGTAGAGCAGGACACGCACCTTCCAACGCTCTTAGGCATTTATCTGAAAGAAGAGGCAGTGAAGAAGCGTGACCCACAGAAGTGATGAGTACGAAGATCAGGAAAAGTATACTTACATGAATAAAACGAGGCTCTCTGATTTAAGAAAGAAAAACTCTTGGTGTTAGTTAAAAACACTGATTTTCCTCTTTTTTTCTAGTCCATTTTAACTTTTTCTAGAAGGAGAACTTCTAGAAAAAGTTCTCCTAGAAAGTGGATCCTATTTTTTAAATCCATTTATAATCTGAAAGAATAAAATAATGTGATTTCCCATCCAATTGTCCCCACTGATTGCCACAGAGCATCACACTTTTTTGCTTGGTAGTTTTCGCTGAGGCAGGAAGAAGTGGAGGGTAGCAGTCATAGGATGGTTCTGGATGGACATGTGGTGGCGACAGACAGGGGCCCCTGTCGACATACCACCAGCATCCACTCTGCGGGCAGTGCCCTTTGGCCTTGTCACTTCCTGCCACTTGCCCCTTATACTTCAGACTTTGTAATACCAGAGGCTTCTAAGGCTGGAGGATAGAAAAGAAGGGAGTTTCTTTAAGAAATCTTCTGGCAGGTTCCTCCACTTCTGCCTCTTCCAAAAGGTACCAGCCTCCATCTCCTTTGCTTTTAGCCAGGTAGGTGACCATAGGTTTTAAGCAATAGTTGGTACGGCTTACAGACTGAAGTTAGTCAAAATAAAAAGCCCATCTGGGCTTCCCCAGCACGTCCATTTAAGTCTTTAGGAATAGTCAGCAAACCAGCTGAAACGCTCTTCTACTACAGTCTGAAAACCAATCACTCAAAAACATCTTCTAACTTAGAGTTCATTTTGTAATAAAACTACAAATAAAAACAAACACAAGGGACTTCCCTGGTGGTGCAGTGGTTAAGAATCCACCTGCCAATGCAGGGGACATGGGTTTGATCCCTGGTCTGGGAAGATCCCACATGCCGCGGAGCAACTAAGCCCGCGCGCCACAACTACAGAAGCCCGCATGCCACAACTACTGAAGCCCGCGCACCTAGAGCCCGTGCTCTGCCACAAAAGAAGCCACCGCAATGAGAAGCCCGCGCACTGCAACGAAGAGTAGCCACCGCTCGCCACAACTAGAGAAAGCCCGCGTGCAGCAACGAAGACCCAACGCAGCCAAAAATAAAAATTAATTAATTTATTTATTTTTAAAAAAACCACAAGTAAAAGGCTTACCCAAAGGAATAGCTAATGAAAATGTAAAACTCTTGATGTTATTAACATTAGTAACATACTGTGAGAGTGAACACTTCCTCTCCATTCTGAATGTCCCACAGTTTGGCCGTTGTGTCCATACTTCCAGTAGCCACCAATGTGCTTTGAGGATTAAACGATAAACACACCTGAATTACATGAAATGAGAGAGATGTTAGAAAGACAGAGTTTTAAATTGTTAATTCTAACATAGAAAAGCTTGGAGATGTGACTCTCTCAGCAGATTCAGCCTAGTTCTTTGTACAGATATGCAGCAAAATACCAGATACGAGTAGCCATTTAACTGCAGGTAGATCCTGAAGCATTCTCCTCTTGAGAAGAGGCTGCTGTTCTCCCACATCACCCAGCTCAGGCTTGGAGAGGCACTGGCTCCCCTTAGTCACTTCCAGACCATAGAAGAACAAGAACAAAAGCAAAGCCCAGCTCCTTTGAGATTCATGCTATCTGGCTCCCATCTTTTTTTTTTTTTTTTTTCGGCCACGCCGCGGGGCAAGTGGGACCTTAGTTGCCCAACCAGGGATCACTCCCATGGCAACACCCTTACCTTGATGTCACCTTTTCTACAAGATTCACTACCAATACATCAGTCTCTAGTTACAATTTCCCAATACTTCTACTTTCTCTCTTCCTTACCAAGCCTCCCCTCCAACCTCCCCATAGGATACCTTCCATTTCATGTACACCCCTCTCTTTTCTCCTGGTCCATTATCCCCCATTCAGATGACACCTGGAAGCATCACTCCTGCCAGCATCCCAAAACTCCAAGTCCCTGTCTTTTCACCTGCACTCTTCATATAACTCCTAAAAACTTGTATCAATCTGGGATTTTATCACTCATTTGTCTGCCCTACCCTCAACCAAGGCAGTTGAAGAAAACAGTATAGCAGATACTAGTGATGTTCATTCATGTCTTCTGTCCTCAGCTGTGGCCTCAGTAGCTTTCCCGATTTTGTCTAACACGCCTCGGATTCAATATATTCTCCCATTCCCCATTTTTGCCTCCACTCCCATCCTCATTCCTCCTCAGCAGATAACCTGGCCTCCTAATACTTCCCTGAAAAGACTTACCTATCAGTTGAGAACTTCCTCCCCTGGCCCTCACTTTCCTTTCCTCCAGTCTCAGATTCAGAGGGATCACTTTGCCATTTTAAGACACTACGTTCCCTGTACACCTAGGAGAGATAAGCCCACCAACTTTTCCTTCCCTCTAGAAGGAGCTAGATCCTTTCCAGTGGCCTATAAGTATGCTTGAGCTCTTCCCACATGAAAACTCATCCTCCCTTGACTCTACATATCCATTTTTTAACTACCTTTTTTTCCCTTTACAACCAAATTCCTTGGAAAAACAGTCTACCATCACTCACTGCCCATCTTCCACTCTTCAACTCTACTGGAACCACTCTAGATCAATGTCCAGTTGAGAGGCTTGGTTGGTCTTGGTCATCTCACTTAACATTCCTGAGGTTCTCGATATTTTCTTCCTTCTTGACTGCTTTGATAGTGCTCTGCTTTTCTTCTCTAACTTCTTGTCTCTTTTATTGTATCCTTTAAAATTTTCTCTTCTCCATCTTCCCAAGATCCCACCAGAAACCTTCTGTGCGGGGAAGGCTGGGAAGCGCTGCCCTGGACGCTCAGAGCCACTTGAGTTCTAAGCACAAACCACGATTACACACCTCCTCTGGGCGTTTGCTGCTGCAGCTCCCTCTGCCTGGAACACACCTGCCACCTCTCTGCAGAGTCTTTCCTGAATACCAGTCCTGGCCACGGAGGCTTGGCCAATCCCTCTGTGCCCTCACTGAGCTCCCTGCCAACTTCTAGCCCACCTACAACACATCTTTAAACTTATCCATGGACACCTCTACTCCCTCTACAAGACTGCAAAATCCCTGGGGGACCAAGAACTACATCTGATTCTGTTTGGTACCCCACACACATAGGCCAGGGCTTCACACAGTCAATACTTAGTAAACATTCATTGGATTGATGTTGTTGACTACGAAAAATACGAAATGCCTTCCTAGGAACTATAAATAAAGAAACCTTTACAAAATTCCAAGGGAGTATGAAAACATGGCCACACTATGAGAATGAGGATTCTGTCTTTCTTATGACCCTGGACAAATTACTTGAGCTCTCTATGCCTCAGCATCCTTAACTGTAAAATGGGGAAATATCTACCCCTTACGGTTGTTACGAGGGACAACTAAGCTAATATATGTAAAGGGCTTAGGACGGTGCTTCAGGCATGTTGAGTGCCACTAAAGGGTCAGTTACAATTTCTAACTGCAGTACCCCCAGTGTTTAGCAAAGTACCTTGAACATAGCGTGAGCTCTTGTTGGATGAACATACAATGAATTTGAAGGATGAATATAAATAAATTTTTATTCCTAAAATAAGCAGACTGTTTATTTTTAAAAGCTATCACTTGTTCCATAGGGTGCCAATTATCTCACTAAGTGCTATAAGATGTAACACAGAATTGGCCAAGGACAAGGGCTTCCCAATAGTGAAAGCCATTTCGAGTATCAAACTATTTATGCAAATTTGAGTTCTAATTATATCCAGAAAACATCAGCTTAGATATCTTACATGATATAAAAAACTTATTTTAAAAGCTACTTTGAGAACTTCGTCAACCCTCATCAAGTCAGTCCTCTAAAGACAAGTCAGTGAAATAGAAAAAGTCAGGTTGGATATTGTGTTCATATACTTATCCCATTATCTGCCTACTTAGTCAAAGCAGGATATGGGTCTTTTACAGCATCGGCAAGATATTAAGACTAGAGTAGTTTATAAATTATATCAATACCACCATACATGATATATAGAAACTGAAAATATCAGATAGGCTTTAAAATTAATTATAAAGGTATAGCCACTACTTTTACAATGGAATTCTAAAAAGAAATAACAATGATGTGATGCGCCAGTGTAAGTTCATCAATTGTAATATACGTACCACCCTGGCGGGGATGCTGATAATGGAGCATGCCGCGGAGGGGAAAGGTGAGAAGTCTTTGTACTTTTTACTCAATGTTCCTGTCAACCTAAAACTGCTCTAAAAAACAAGTTCTACTGAAAAAAGAGGAAAGTAAAACAAAACAAAAACAAAAAGAATGACAACATAGAAATATAATAAAATAAACGTACTCACTATTTCTGCTGTATGGCCCCTAAAGGTGTGGCCACAGGTTCCGGTTTCTACACTCCATAGTTTACAAGTCTTATCAAAGGACCCAGTGGCAATTTTGTCACTAAGATTTAAAAAGAATATATATGGAATTTGAAAACAAATTCAACCACAGTATTTGATACACTGAATTAAGAGAAGAGATATTAATACATGGATCTCTATCTACTCAGAAGTTTATTTCACTTTTAAAATAATAGACTATCCAGTGAATCACCTATACTCCAATATAGAATAAAATTTTTTTAAAAATAAAATGAAACGACAAGCAATCTTATATCTATTTCAGTGAACTCTATAACAAAATAGAGTTCTAATTTTTGAATAGTATCAGTTTACATGTTCAGCCCAGTGCTATAAACATCACCAGGAACTCGCTGTCAGAGAGCTCCCAAGGGCAGAGAGTCAGCCCTGCAAAAGCTTGAACCCTTACTCACCTCTCTACTACTGTGTGAACCTGGGAAGGGTATCTGAACTTTATATACGTTATATGAAACCAGCAATACCTATCCCAAAGCTCCTTTAAGCACTGAAGAAGGTATTTAAGAGGTTTTCAAAGCATGTGTCAGGCACTCAATAACTTTTAGTTCTTTGTCTTCCTCTTTTCCTTCCCCAATAGATAGAGGGAGACATGAATAAAAGAATGAATGGATTAATAAGGAATAAGTGAACAAGGGAATGTCTTTTTACCCATAAGGATTGTTGAATGCTATGGCATAAACCACATTCCTGTGACCCTCCAGGGTGTGAAGTTCCTCTCCAGAGGCAGTGTCCCAGAGTTTGCATGTCCGATCATAGCTTCCTGTGATAAAGCTAACACAAGCAATATAAATACACCACAAGGTGAAACTAGCAATGTGTTAATAAAGACCTCATTGCTTTTGCCTGCAAAATTATAACCCCATTTACCTTGCTTTTTACAATGGAAGTTGTGAAGGCAGAACAAACAAATTGGGAGCAATAGCTAACCTTTGACCTGGAAACTTTCCAATTTTAACCCAAACCCAAAAAGGAGTTACTAGTTACTAAATAAAATAAAGAGTAATCCTTCCAATAATCATTCTTACAATATAAATAGTTACATCATTAAATAATATTAATAATCAGTAACATTTTCTGAAACTCTAATATATCTCAACAAATAACATCATTCTTCCCGTTGGTCAGACCATAAAGTCTTAGCATCACCTCTGATGCCTCTCTTTCCCTCACATCCCACACACAATCTATCAGTAAATTCTATTAGCCCAGTCTCAGAATACATCCCTAGTAGGGTCACTTCTCACCAGCTCCATTGTCTCCATCTCTTGCCCAAACAAATAAAACCACCTTCTAATAGGGCTTGACTCACACATGTCCCTTACAAATCTATTTCCCTCACCAAAATTGGATTTATTTTGTTTAAACTTCCTCAGGTGGCTTCCCAGTGATCTAGAGGAAAATTCAAACTTTGCTTGTGGTCCGCAAGGCCAGCAGTCCTGGCTACACCTGGGACCTCAACTTCTCCCGAAAGCACACCCTGATCAGCCACATTCCCCTTCCCACTAGTCTCTGAAGAACTGTATTGTTTCTTTCATACATGCTAGTTCTTCTACCCGCCTGGTTTACCACCATCATCCCTAGGCCCTGGAACATGACTGACACACTAAGTGTTCAATAAATATTTGTTTAATATTTAACAATCCTTGAACGTGACTATTCTACTATAGGAATCGTTAGTATCAATATATTGACCTCTAATAGCTTAAATTAAGAGTATCTTAGTTATTCCTTAAATACTCCATTAGGAAAAATATTTCCCAAGCACAGAACAAAAAGCACAAAATTGAAAAGCCAGTCTTAATGACAAGTGGTTATGATAAAAGGTGAAACAAATTCTGATCTACACCCAACTAAACAGGAAGGCTGACAAGGCAGTATATCTGTGGTTCTCTTCTAGGCATTTTCCTCCTAGCTTCTTGGGGAATGTAAATTGGTATGGTCATTATGGAACAGAGGATGGTGGTTACCAAAAAAAATAAAAAATAGAACTACCATATGATCCAGCAATCTCATCTCTGGGTATATATCCAAAGGAAACGAAATCAGGATCTCGTAGCGATACCTGCACTCCTATGTTCACTGCAGCATTGTTCACTATAGCCGAGATATGGAAATAACCTGAATATCTGTCAAAGGATGAATAGGTGAAGAAAATGTGGTGCATATATATGTTTACAATGAAATATTATTCGGCCATGAGAAAGAAGGACATCCTGCCATTTGCTACTGCATGGATGAACCTGAAGGACATGATGCTAAGTGAAATAAGCCAAACACAGAAGGACAAATACCATATGATCTCACTTATATGTGCAATCTAAACAACAACAAAGTTGAACTCACAGAAGCAGAGAGTAGAACAGTAGTTACCAGGGACTGGGGAGGAGAAATGGGAAGACATTGGTCAAAGGGTACAAAGTTGCAGTTACATAGAATGAATAAGCCTAAAGATCTAACGCACAGACGTGATGACTACAGTTAATAATACTGTATTGAATGCCGGAAATATGCTGAAAGAATAGATGTCAGGTGCCCTCATCACACACACAAAAGATGGTAACTATGAAGATGAGATGTTAATTAACTTGATTGTAGTTATCATTTCACTATGTATATGTATATCAAATCATCCTGTTGTATTCCTTACATGTATACTTTTAAAACTTTTATCCCTTGATTATTAAAACTTAGAAATAAAGAATAGAAATAGACACAGATTTACACATAGAAATAAAGAACCAGAGCACAGAGGATTTTAGGGCAGTGAAACTGCTCTGTGTGATCCCACAACAGTGGATATATGTCATTATACATTTGCCGACCTGCAGAATGTACAAAACCAAGAGTCAACCCTAATGTAAACTATGAACTTTTCGTGATAATGATGTGTCGCTATCAATATCGGCTACAACTGTGACAGATGCAGGTCTTGGTGGGGGACGCTGATGGTGAGGGAAGCTGTGTGCAGGGGCACAAGGCAGACGCTTTATAGGAAACCTCTGTACCTTCTGCTCAGTTTTGCTGTGAACCTAAAACTGCTCTAAAAAATAAAGTCTAATAAACTGTTTTAAATAAACAGAGAACCTTACCATGAGCCTGATTTATTAAGTGCAACGTTAGTCAATGGCAGTATATGTGCTCTGAGAACCTTCAATGAAAGAAAACACCACTTATTTTAAACTTAAACAAAATTTTTCAGTTCATTCATTTTAACTGCAAACCAATGAAGACACTCAAATGTGTCTTAATTATACTTAATAAATGGACAATATCAAATATATGAACAAATGAGAAAACTACATGGACCTTCTATTATTAAGACTAATAACACATTTGGTGGTTACAACTAATTACAGAAACATAATAGGATCTGTGTTTTCCATCAATTTACCTTTAGATAGATTATGGCTATAAAATACCAAATAGCACTAATTTATATTTTCTTTCACATATTGCACATGGTTTTGTATATATGCATAAACAGTGTATATAGGAAATAAACTAAGTATGTTTCAAATACAGATTTACAATGTATCATTACTTTTTGAATCTTAAAGCTCCTTCAGAGTCAGGATACGTTGTGTTATTTATCTTTCCATCCCTACATTGTCTAGCACATAGTGGATGCTTAATATTTATTGAATGAATATGCTTAAATTGGATCGTCTGTTTATGGACAGAGTGATTGGCTAGACTGGGACGGTTCCAGTTATGTCTACTGCCAGAGTGTAACTATTAATAGTGTCCTCTTTCACTATCAAAAATGTTCCCTTTGGAGGATAAATTACAAGGTCATGCGTTATAGAGCTCATATTTGAAGTTAAATAGTGCCACCTGCTGGACAAAGAACTATTACAAGAATAACCATCCTCTCGTGAAGGGAACAGATGAATACAGAAGATTGCCTGAATATTTTGCATCAGACAAAATAAGCTGAGTATTTAATAATAAGTCTACTTAAGTCATAAAAAATAAAATCAGTGTAATATAAAGCAATTCTAGAATAAATCATTAAATTTTGTTAAATAATAAAGAAAAAATAAAAGCTGTTGTTGAATAAATGACTACATTTGTTTTAATTTAGTCACCAAAATACTACAGGAAAATAAGCATATTTTCATTGAATTAAATTATGCAATCCATGTCAATAAATAATTTGCTAAAATATAGTTTAGTTCACATGGAAGCAGAAAATTTGAAATATTGATACACCATGAAACCTGTCTTAATATTACTCTAACGGGAAAAAATTTTAATTATTCAATAACTTAGATTATCCTTTAGATTTATCATTATAAAGAAAAGTTAAAGTTACTAGTACAAATCTTTATTGAACCTGTTAAGAAGTAAATTTTTGAATTTCATTCATTCATTCAACGAACATTTATTAAGACTTAGCAAAAATGTGTGAGGAACTGAGGAAAAGAGAAAACATGATTTGTACTTTACCTCAGATTAATAGAACATCAATTAATTCACTGAAGTTCTACTTAGTATCTTTGAAACAGACATTACCTTAAAAAGATAGAATTTGTGGTTGCTGTACTGTCCAAGTTTATTTTGTAACCTCTGTATTAAAAGTTTGACCTGGTCTGCTCGTGAAGCTGTGATCAGAGGTTCTGCTTTCTGTATCTCTTCTACTAAGGCATTGACATCTGTACTGAAATTCACCAAGAACAAAAAAGTTATTTTTGTCTTTGTCAAAAATTGCATATACATTTATTACATAAAGGATTATATAGCTTTATGAAGCATAAGATTTATAAAATGTCAACAACACCATCATTTTTACCAAGAGATTTCTGGGGGGAAAAAAAACCACAGAAATCACTGAAGAGCATTGTGTCACAGATGAAAGCTGCTTGGGTTCTCTCCAATGCCTTTCCATTAACTGAGATTTCTCCTGAGGAAGGTGTACAAAGATTCTCATTTGCTTACCTAAGAAGGCCAAGTGCATACTGCTTCTGAACAAGAGCTCTTTTTATTTATTTTTTTCCTGTTTCTTTTTTCTTTTAAATGAACATATATTAAATGTGCCCACTCCTACTACACTTTGCACCTTACATACGTTCTGTCATTTAATCCTATAACAACCTTCTAATTTAATGCGTTTTCACAACTATTTTAGTGATGAAGAAACTGAGGCTCAGAAAGGTTAGGTTTGCAATATTTTTAGGGAAAGAGAAAGTACCTAACCAAAAACAAACATTCAAAGAATTACTATTATTATTAGATTTCTTATGGGCTATAACATTACGTCCCTGAAAGAGAACTGGTGTGAAAAGTACAGATTCAAGTTTTCCCCAGTATTCAAATAATCTACAGCAATTATGGTAAATGTTGCTAGTCCAGAATAATATTAATTCAAGACAAATATTAATGTCTGTATACCACAAAACATCCAAAATAGGGTCATTTTGCAAAACATGTCACAAATGCGTATCGAGAAAGGACTTGGGACCCAGCTGCCGTGAAGGAGGTGGTAGTTGGCTGACAGCCTCCAGCTGCAGCTTCTTCAGGATCCACGTTAGTGTCTGAGCCCACGGCTTGCTCTTATCCACAGCCCTCGGCCGCTGGCTAGGCAAGGGGGCCGCGCAAGAGCCTGGACACTTCTGCCCCGTAAGGGGGTCCTCAAACCCGCAAGCTTTGTTCCGAGCTCCCCCACGGGCTGGAGAGACTCTTGTCAAACCTGCATCATCATCAAGGTTGATGTCTCCTCCTGCCCAGACGTGCCTCATCCTCTGATCTGTCCCAGGTGTCACTTCCCAGTCACCTTGTCCCCACCTACTTCTGTTTCAGCATCTGCTTCCCAGAAATGTGAAATCCGATAAGCATCCTCCTTCTGTTCACACACACATAGGCTGAGCTCCAGTTTTGTGCAAGGCACTGAGCTAGGAGACCATTCATTCAACTTAACATTTATTACCTACCGTAGGTTGAGTCCTGGGAGTGTCAGAGGTATGGTCCCAGCTCTCAAGAAACACAGTCTTTCAGAATAAAAGTGAATATTTGGAATGGAAATGAATCAGAGATGTTTCACAATGATGACTTTGAAAAACTCAGTTGTCAAAATAGTTATACTTTCATAAGAATTAAAAAGATAATAATGCCTCTTGGAAAGGTTTCCAACAAATGTTATGAATCAAAACAGATTTCCAAACTAAAAGGTTTATTTTTTTTCTTTTTAAATACGGTTGGTTTGGGAAGAAGAAGAAGAAAGATTGATGATCCTTTTTCTACTTCCTCCTCATTCAGCAAGACATTCAAATAAAATTCAACAAAACAAACAGGAAATAATATACCCCGGAACAACTTAATTAGTAATGCATTGTCTGTAGCTTATGCAGCTCATCAACACACCATCCTATGTCAGGGTCTCCCAATCACAATTTTGGATATGAAATACATATTGCATTATATAGCTAACTTACCTGGTATGGAGATCGAGCAGATCTATGGATTTGGTCTTTAGTTGTCCACTTTCTTCATATTCCAACATAATTCCTAAGAAATAAACAAATATTAAGTTATAAAACACTTATGATCACAGCCTATGCCAAAAGTTAACCTACTTTGACATAACTTTTTCATTTTTGTTTTTCCATTTTTCTACATAAAACATATGCAGTGATGTCTGATTTCAAAACAAGATGGTGTAGACCCACTTTTCCTTGGTCTGTCCTCTAAATACACTTGAAATCATTCAGCAGGCAATGCTAAAATAATTGAAAGTTGGATAGAAAAAGGTGGATGGATAGGGGCCTCAGGATTTGAGGAATGACAACACCGTGAGTTCCCTGGGTTTTCTTTTCATTTCACATGTATCCCAACAGTGGGGACCAAAAGGACTTGCAGCCTGAAACCACCGAAAAGCACAGATATCAAAACATCAAAAAACAACAAAAAAGCTTGCTTTCTGTGGCCAATGGACAAGGAAAAGAGAAGTCAGACAAAGTACTGATGAGGAACCCTGAACTGCTCCACCACGGGGGCCCCTGCAGGCAGTTCCACCCACAGTGGAAGCCCTGGGCTGTCCCAGTCCCCACTGCAAAGCTGGGCCCCAGTGCAGTCTCATCTGCCTGCAACAGCTGGAGCAGCAAAGCCGCAGACCTTCACCATCCCTGCTCCTTAGCTGCCGTCTGAGGGGGCCATCTGATCTGCCTACAGCAGCATCAGCGAAGTCCCAGGACCTCCCAGACCCCATTCCACAGCAAAGCACCAAAGCAGCGTCTCCCTGCCTTTCAACCAGTGGCACAACCAGGCCCAGGGGCTTGTCCTCCACCCCCAGAAGGCCACACAGTGAGAACAGGCACACTGGGGACATACCTTCTGCCCCTGCAGGTGGCACCAGAGAAGACTGAGCAGGAGTCTTGCTAAGACAAAGCAAAGCAGGAGTCTTACACCAGAAAAACAAATTAGACCAGAATAACATGGCAAAGGCTCAGAAAACTAAAGTATCACTGTAATTAAAGCCCACAGAAGCAGACCAGAACCTATGTGCTAAACCTAAACATGGTGACGGCATGCCAAAATAGACGTAGGTGGGATCAAGAGTCTCCAGGATACAATAAATAGTCACTCAGGGCTTCCCTGGTGGCGCAGTGGTTGAGAGTCCGCCTGCCGATGCAGGGGACACGGGTTCGTGCCCCGGTCCGGGAAGATCCCACATGCCGCGGAGCGGCTGGGCCCGTGAGCCATGGCCGCTGGGCCTGCGCGTCCGGAGCCTGTGCTCCGCAACGGGAGAGGCCACACAGTGAGAGGCCCGCGTACCGCAAAGTCCCATGACAAGGAGCACAAAGTGTGTACAGAGTAGGCCTTCAGTAAATGTGCTGACTGATTGATATGTACAGTCTGGAATTCAGTCACTAAGGTAATATGCTTATTAAGTATGCATTTTTCTTTTCATACTCAACACACCTTGACTTAGTCATTCTGGTGCGTTTAAAATAAAAATCAGTGTGGTCCTTGTCGGTGTCTTCCCTTCCAGAAACCAATATTCCACCACATCAATAATCACCTCCTATCCCTCCCCGTTCACTTCATTCCTAAGTAACCAGAAAGCATTATGACTCAGCAATTTTAAAGTTTAAAGACTCCCTGAGGGCTTCCCTGGTGGCGCAGTTGTTGAGAGTCCGCCTGCCAAAGCAGGAGACGCGGGTTCGTGCCCCGGTCCGGGAGGAACCCACCTGCCGCGGAGTAGCTGGGCCCGTGAGCCATGGCCGCTGGGCCTGCGCGTCCGGAGCCTGTGCTCCGCAACGGGAGAGGCCACGCCGGTGAGAGGCCCGCGTACCGCAAAAAAACAAAACAAACAAACAAAAAAAACTGAAAGAGTCTTTTTAAAACTTATGAGGAACAGAGTCCAGCATCCAAAGCAGTGAGGGGCCCACGTTAGGAAGCACCAGGCTTCCCGTGCCACAGGGATCACTCGTTCTGGACCCCACCTCTCGGGTTCCCGCACCCTCCTCTGCCCCAGACCCTCCTGGTGCAGGTTCTCACATGAGGGCAGAGCGGGGCCCGGCCTGTACCTGGCGGGTAATACCGGAGCAGGAGGCTCTTGAGCTTCATTCTCTCGCAGGGGAACCACCAGCCGACCGACTTGGTCGTCATGGAAACGGCCAAACAGCGGAAGGCGCCGGCGCGCATGCGCGCGCGCGCCGCACAAAGTTCCCGGGACTCGCGGCTTAGAGCCTAAGGTCTTGGGGTGCGTCTTGCGGCTCAGGCGTCCCGGGGCTGGCCGGGGTGAGGGGGTCCGGGATATGCTCGGTCGCAGAGCGCGCCCTGCCCTCCCCCCCACCCACATCTGCCTCGGGGTTCCGGAGGGCGGGCGCCGGGTTCCGGGAGCCGCTCAAGGAGTGCGCTCCTGCCCGCGCCGCGGCCACCGGAATCTACACCCTTTGGTGTCTGGGTTGGGTGGGACGAGGGCCACTCGTGTCTTCAGTAAGGGAGACCTCACAAGGGGCGAGGCGCGGCCGAGGACCAAGGGCCTCAGCTACAGTCTGGGCCACACGCACTTTAACCCATTGGGTTTCCAATACTGAAGGGTGGGAGAAATATCCCACGCTCGGTTACTGTTCTCGGCCCCTCATGCCCTGTCCCTGTACCCACAAAAGAAAAATGACCTCGACGTAATCGCCTACATTTCCAGTGCCATGCACTGCGCCAAGGGCTCTATCCACTATACTCCCAGTCCGAACAAAGGTATGAGTTATGCACCATTTATTTCCACCCCATCTCAAGGATGAGACAACTGAGCATTAGAGAAAGTGCAGAACCACCCAAGGTCACAGAGAAGCAGGTGGGAAGGCAGACGTGTCAGAAGCCTATACCTGGAAGCCTCCACGTATGGAGGCTCCACCTGTGCTCTTAACCCTGGGTTTAAGGCTTTGGAGGCCTTTTGACTTGTTCTGTTTCTTGCCAGCATGGGTTCTTTGCCTGCCATGTTGAGTTTCCATCAGGAAGACTGTGGACGGGAAGAGTCAGCTAGCCAGGTTGTCAATTTCCTCTAAGGAATTTGGCCTAAATCCCTAAATTAGAATTTCCCAAACTTAAGCAATTCCTGAGGTATCTTTATAGCCTTGGGCCACAGCGCCTTATCAGCTGCATACCTAAGGGTTTTCTTTAAGTTCTTACAATTTCTCTGAACTGGCTCACTTGTTCTACTTCACATTTTTTAACGTAATTTAAAAGAAAACTGTTGTCAATACTGTGAATTAAAATTTTGTATAATTCTCAATGAGGAGCAGCAGGTAACTATAAAAATAAATTCAATTTTTAAAAATACTATTGAATCACACCGGTCAGAATGGCCATCATCAAAAAATCTAGAAACAATAAATGCTGGAGAGGGTGTGGAGAAAAGGGAACACTCCTGCACTGCTGGTGGGAATGTAAATTGATACAGCCACTATGGAGAACAGTATGGAGGTTCCTTAAAAAACTAAAAATAGAACTACCATACGACCCAGCAATCCCACTACTTGGCATATACCCTGAGAAAACCATAATTCAAAAAGAGTCATGTACCACAATGTTCATTGCAGCTCTATTTACAATAGCCAGGACATGGAAGCAACCTAAGTGTCCATCAACAGATGAATGGATAAAGAAGATGTGGCACATATATACAATGGAATGTTACTCAGCCATAAAAAGAAATGAAATTGAGTTATTTGTAGTGAGCTGGATGGACCTAGGGTTTGTCATATAGAGTGAAGTAAGTCAGAAAGAGAAAAACAAACACTGTATGCTAGCACATATATATGGAATCTAAGAAAAAAAAAAAAAAGTCACGAAGAACCTAGGGGTAAGACGGAAATAAAGACACAGACCTACTAGAGAATGCACTTGAGGATATGGAGAGGGGGAAGGGTAAGCTGTGACAAAGTGAGAGAGTGGCATGGACATATATACACTACCAGACATAAAACAGATAGCTAGTGGGAAGCAGCCACATAGCACAGGGAGATCAGCTCGGTGCTCTGTGACCACCTAGAGGGGTGGGATAGGGAGGGTGGGAGGGAGGGAGACACAAGAGGGAAGAGATATGGGAACATATGTATATGTATAACTGATTAACTTTGTTACAAAGCAGAAACTAACACACCATTGTAAAGCAATTATACTCCAATAAAGATGTTAAAAAAATACTATTGAAATACTTTATGCTATTGCCTGCCAGACTGCAATAAAAAGGCCTTTCCTTTCTTTCTTTTTTTTTAAAGGGAAAAATTAGCAACTATTTGAAATTTTCAAGACAAGCTAGCACACAACTGAACCTTTTTACTTCATATACTCGGAATGTTGGAGAGAGATTGAAATAAGAAAGCCTCTGCTGCTAAGTGATACAATTAAACCTAATACAAATGGACAGCACATAAAAATCACCTCATCCCACCAGCAGTAAGCATCCCACACTTGGGAAGCGGGGAACCAGATGAAATCTAAGACACCTTCTAGCTCAAACTTTCCCCTCATGATTAAGACTCCGGAAAGGGTTTAAGTAGGCAGAGGCAAAGAGCTCATCTGTAGAAATGAGGGGTTCTCCAGTAGATTTCGTTCACCCATGTTATTGCTTATGCTTGTGCCATTTAAAATGAGGCCTTTGGAAAAATAATAACTTTGCTGTAGAGAAATCTGGTAGACACCATTTAACCACTGGATCAAAGCTAACGTCACCAATATTGGGACAAACTGACATCTGTATCTCCATTACAATGCACTGCAAAGGACAGAGCAATTCTCTGGAATTTCTGCCCACGATGCATTACCTGCCTCTAATCATGAGGAAGCATCAGAACAACCAAAAACTGAAGAAATTGTACAAAATAACTGTCAAGGTCAAGAAAGAAAAAGGTAGACTGAAAAACTACTCCAGATTCATGCACACTAAAGAAGTTGAACAATTAAATGCACTGAGTGACCCTGGATCCTAGACCAGGGAAAAAATAGTTATAAAGGACATGATTGGGACTACTGGATGAAATTTGAATAGGGATTGAGGTTTAGAGTATATTTTATTAATATTTTATCAATGTTATTTCCTAATTTGATCATTGTACTGTGGTTATGTAAGAGAATGTCCTTGTTCTTAGGAAAAACCCACTGACTTATTTAGGGATAAAGGGGTATGATACCCGCAATCAACTCTCAAATGGTTTTGAAAACTTATGTGTAAGTATAGACGTGTGTTGATAGAGCCAATGAGCAAAATGTTGAATCTAGGCAAAGGGTTCCTTTTGGGGTATTCCTTGAGTACTCTTGTAACTTCTCCATAAATTTGAAATTATTGCAAAATAAAAAGAGGCCTTTGTTTCCCACAGGCCAAGCCAGCTTCAGAACATTCTGGGATATCAGTGGCAATCACAGAACTATTTGGCTCCACTTTTGTTCTGTTAAGAGAGTCCAAGTTCAAGTACACTCCCTGTTTCACCCCTAATTCCACCTCCATCTTCCTCTAGTTATAGGACCCAAAGCCTCCATCGTTGCCTACCCTTCACCACTCCCTCCATTTCCACGAGTTCCTGTCCTCCCTAAGTGGCTCTTTTCTTCCTGTTCCAGGTGAAAGATTTTCCCTACTTCCTCGAACCAAACTTTTAAGTGTTGTCCTTTGCTTTTTTAAAAAAATTCCAGCTCTGTAGCTTTTGACATCTCTCCCTTTGCTCAAGGAGCATAAGCAAAGTTCTCCCACGTAAAAGGTTAGAGAACCTGCTAATCATCCCCCATCCCATGATATCCAGAGCTCAGAGCACAGTTCCTTGGAAATGAGGTCCGTTCTTCCCATAGCCCATGCCCACCGCAGCCTTCACCTCCATCTTTGCTTGAGTGTCATTTATCTGGATGTCCAAGCACCCTGACTGTCCATTCAGTTTCCAAAGTTCTTCTCACAATTTCTCCCAAAGACCTCTCTGCTAATAGGACTCCTAGTATTCTGACTTAACAGCCCAGAATCCTGGTACCGAATATGTCCCCGTCCCCCTTTCTAGGAAGGCAGTAGGGTTATATGCAAATGAGGTGGTGATCCAAAGAGAAGTCATCAAAGTCCTGAGTGCAGGCAGATTTCTCTTTTGGCCTTGGCAGAAGAAGGGGTTAAAGCTGTGCTTAATTGACTCACCATCTACTCGTTCCTGGAAGCTCCTGCATGAATCTCTCAGCCTGAGGAAATAACTGTTGCACTTTAAATCACCCCCAGGGGAGGGCCATTAGTCTCAAATGATGTACAAAATTTTGCAAAAACAAAACTCCTACATTATCCTGGTGATGGGAGCATATCCCGGTGTGTAGAGCACTTGGTAGGACGTTCTCACAGGGCTTTTAGAGGCCTCCCTAAAAGTTGTAAAATACTTTTAATCAATTCATGGCATCCTGTGTTGATCTGAACGTTGACTCGCTAGATCAACAACTGCAATTCATATGGATTTGTACGTATGAATGTAATATTGACCCTGGGTTTCTTCCCACTGACACCTGCCTTGACCAATCAGAAACTGAAAAGTTAGCATTAATGTTATTCACCCAAATCGCTTCAGTCCAATGCGTGGAAGCCATGCTGAACTTCAGTTCTCACAGTGTGTCCCCAGACCAGCAGCAGTAGCATTACCTGGGAACTCGCTAGAAATGCAAATTCCTGCCCTACCTCACACCACCTACAGAATCAGAAGTGCTGGTAGTGAGGCTCAGCAATTCGTGTTTGGATAAGTTTTCCTGGTGATGCTGATGAATGATGAAGTTTGAAAGCCACTGCACTAGTGTAATAGGTTCCATTGGCTTGGCCAGGCCTGAATGAAATTGGATACCCTCTCCCTGCAATTAGGCCCTTTGTGTATTCTGAACAGTCTTCCCTGATTGTCAGGGACAGTAAACCGGTTGCTCAGATGATGTGAATAAGACCCAGAAACAACATGGGAAGAGACTGGAATTCTTTGCATACTTGTGTTTCAGGTGCTCCAGTGCACTGAGAGAGACCAATGGACATCAGACTAGGGTGGGAGAAGAAGGCTCCTGGGAGGGAAGATGGGGAGAGAAGAGGATCCCTACACATGGGAGAGGGAGAGAAGCAGGGGGAGAAGGATGACGGGAGGGAGGCGGGAGGCGGTCTGGGGGATCCAGATTCAGCACTGACAAAGGACGGGTGGTGCAGG